CAGTTGTATCGACTATCAGGTCGATCGGGGGCAGAGAAAAACTATCCTTGGGGTATGCATGGTTCAAATTGGTGAAGTCAATGTATAGTTGCCACTTGTCATTCACTTTCTTCATAAGCACGACGTTAGCTAGCCAGGTCGGATAATCTACTTCACTGACCGCTTTGGCTTGTAATAGCTTGGCCACCTCGTCAATAATGGTCTTCTGTCTGTTCGACATGAAGCTTCTCCTTTTTTGTCTCACAAGTTTGTAGTTTGAATCAATGTTAAGTTGGTGTACGATCACCATGGGATCTATTCCTTCCATATCTTCCTATTTCCAAGTGAAAACATCAGCGTTCTCTTTCAAAAATGAGATAAGCCTCTCCTTAATGGCTAGGAGAAGCATAGAGCCTATAAAGACCACGTGTCATGGGTCCTCATCCAGNGAATCTGGTGTGTCTGTATCCACGTCATCAGTTCTTAGTTTTGCTTTATCAGTTGCATTGTGGTTCGACAATAAGCTTTCAGTTCATTAATCAGAGAGAGATCCACCGCTAGAGGGTGATTCTCAACGTCCACTTCGGGGGCCGAAAAGTTCTCCAGTAAGTTTTGGTGACTTTGGGGATTGACGTGAGATTTACTCATGTTCCAAGTTGAAACCATCAAACTAAAAACTCAAAGCAAAACGATGAAAATCCTTCCCATAGACGAAGCCAGCTGATGATGCTCAGAAATAATAGTCCAAGCCCAACAACTAATGTTTCAGGGGATAATAGTGGATAGGTTGATTAAGGAGTCAATCTAAGAAGAACCAAAGATTAAGGAGTTAATCTATAAAGAACCAAAGAACACAATATGTAAGTGGTTCACCTCAGTCGAAGGACTAAGTCTACGTCCATTATAAGGAAGTCTCTTACTCCTTGAGATCTTATATTACTTAATCGTTGGCGAATAAAATGGTATTACAGTCACTAGGGGTGTTCACTCTACCCTACGGGTAAGAAATTTAGTCTTCCATCTCAATACTTTGCAGAAGAATTATTTCTTGGTCTACCCTACTCGATCAGGTGTGGTATTCCTACCCGACTTTCTATCCAATTAATCGGGTAGGAAGTCGGGTAAGAAATCGGATAAACACTTTTGTAGTTATTAATTTTTAGATCATTTTAATAATTCAATTAAATAATATGCACCAATTTAACAACACAATAAATCAATAACACTAAAACCTAAAACAAATACAATAAAACACAAGAAAGTATGAACATCAATCCATCATACTTATTACACAAATACAATAACAATCATTTTAAATTTAAATCATATGAAACACATTAAAATCATAACTGCTATAATAGATTACTAGTCTACCACAAATCATGTAACCTACACAAAAAATAAGTTCATGTTTAGGAACTCAAACATCCACAACAATAATAATGTTATAATATAAATTATACTACACAAATACTCTTATAATTACTAAAAAAAATATAAAAAAGTTAAATATATTTTTTGCGGGTAGGGTAGGGTAGGAATGCAAAATTGATGGGTATTCCTCATTCCTACCCAATTTAATTGAAAGACCAAAAATTCTTCCGCATTCCTACCTGATATTTGCAGCTAACCGTTCAGTAGGGTATGGTAAGGTCAGATAGGATAGGAAATTGCAGCTAATCGAAAATTTGAACACCCCTAACAAGCACTGGGATCTTACAAGGAATATACTTCTTGCTATATCTGCTGTGTTGTTGGGTTGGCGAATGCAATGGAGAGGAAGAAGATCTCGTATGATAAAGTAACAGTGTTCTATTTATATGAGTGATCCCCCTCTAGGGTTTTCGGTGGCTCATTCTTCTTTTTTGCTGATTTTATGGGTCCTCCCGCCTTCGTACTATAGCAACCTCTGTCGTCTAGCGTTACTATTCATCCNCCTACGGGTAAGAAATTTAGTCTTCCATCTCAATACTTTGCAGAAGAATTATTTCTTGGTCTACCCTACTCGATCAGGTGTGGTATTCCTACCCGACTTTCTATCCAATTAATCGGGTAGGAAGTCGGGTAAGAAATCGGATAAACACTTTTGTAGTTATTAATTTTTAGATCATTTTAATAATTCAATTAAATAATATGCACCAATTTAACAACACAATAAATCAATAACACTAAAACCTAAAACAAATACAATAAAACACAAGAAAGTATGAACATCAATCCATCATACTTATTACACAAATACAATAACAATCATTTTAAATTTAAATCATATGAAACACATTAAAATCATAACTGCTATAATAGATTACTAGTCTACCACAAATCATGTAACCTACACAAAAAATAAGTTCATGTTTAGGAACTCAAACATCCACAACAATAATAATGTTATAATATAAATTATACTACACAAATACTCTTATAATTACTAAAAAAAATATAAAAAAGTTAAATATATTTTTTGCGGGTAGGGTAGGGTAGGAATGCAAAATTGATGGGTATTCCTCATTCCTACCCAATTTAATTGAAAGACTAAAAATTATTCCGCATTCCTACCTGATATTTGCAGCTAACCGTTCAGTAGGGTATGGTAAGGTCGGATAAGATAGGAAATTGCAGCTAATCGAAAATTTGAACACCCCTAACAAGCACTGGGATCTTACAAGGAATATACTTCTTGCTATATCTGCTGTGTTGTTGGGTTGGCGAATGCAATGGAGAGGAAGAAGATCTCGTATGATAAAGTAACAGTGTTCTATTTATATGAGTGATCCCCCTCTAGGGTTTTCGGTGGCTCATTCTTCTTTTTTGCTGATTTTATGGGTCCTCCCGCCTTCGTACTATAGCAACCTCTGTCGTCTAGCGTTACTATTCATCCAGCGCCACTGTTCCCACAATCTCTGGATGGTTATGCACACCATCCCCTTTGCTTCAGGGAGTACGTGATCGTCGTAGGTGTCATAAGTAGTCCCTCTGTTCCCCCCCCNCATTATCAATAATATTTTTTGATCAATGATAAATTGTCTCTATTAATTATAACTTCAACGAACTTGTTAGTAAAAAATAATATTTTTTTTGTATAATATCAAAAAAGAATTCCAATATTATTTAATTTTTTTTTTTTAACTGTTGCCGCAGTGCTAGTCATGATTTACATTTGGAATTAGAAAACTTCAACATCAACAATTATGCTTGGCTAGCTTTGTTTAAAGTCGCGGCAAAAACCCCGGATCCCATGCAGCCGGTCCAACAACACGACGGATAAGACCATGGGCCCTTGGGCATGAACCATGGGCTGGTTTCCGACCCAGCCCGATACCAACCTTTAGCTTATGCTAAATAGTAAACCCTGAGCCGTTGGGCACGAACCATTCACCGTTAATAAACGTTAATAATTTTGAAGCCAACAAATTACTCTACATATTTGTCGAGGAATTTTTTTTTGGGTTAATCTCATTTTGCACTCCGAAAGATTGTTCGAATCTCAATTTACACCCTCAAAGATCAAAAATCTCAATTTACACCTTCAAAGATATAAATTTGTATCAATGTACACCCCTAAAGATCAAAAATCTCAATTTGCACCCTCAAAAATAGAAATTTATATTAATGTGTACCCCAAATATAAAAAATCTCAATTTGCACCCTCAAAAATAGAAATTTGTATCAATGTGCACCTAAAATTAAATTGATAAATTATACCTAAATCCCCTCATATTTGTCAGTTAATCATTTAGACCTCTTCACATTTAGAATATTACTCCTACATCTTATGACATTTGTGCACGTATAACACGTAACCCATTTTCATTGATATCTATTAATATAACCGTTAAAAAATATAATTTTATCCTAATAAAAAATTATAATTTCATATTACCCTTTATTTTATAGGTTCAATATACTATAAAGTTCAAAATCTAGTTTACCATTTGAATGTCTAATAAAATATAAATATTTATATAATATTTTTCATATTACCTTTTATATAAATATCTACATTTTATTAGACATTCAAATGGTAAGCTTGATTTTCAACTTTAGAGTATATCGAATCCACAAAATAAAAGGTAATATAAAATTATAATTTTATATTAGGATAAAATCATATTTTTTAACGATTATATTAATATATATCAA